ACCTTGCCCTGCCCACAATTAGGTAGCATCGCATCCAAGCCGAACAGCCACCTGTACCTGCACGCATCTGCACCCGCACCCCCTCGCTCTGCGCATACCCGCCCGCGACGTCGCCCACGATATCACGGCTGCTGATGACAGTCCGGCTTTGAGTCCAGCATGGCGTCGATAATGGGGTGGTGGGCCATTGGCGAGCTTCTCAGTATGCGACTCCGAATCTTCTAGAAAGCGTCAATATGGAAAGCACGAATACTGACCACACGCCACAGAGCGCGATGCATCCGACGCAGACCCGGACGGTCAGTTCTCCGGCATCCCCAGCGACGAACCCCCCCAATCTAATGCGTCGACACAGACGAGCCAGAGGCAGGACAGAAGGAGATATTCACATCATGGGCCCTGTCCATTCTAATCATCCTGCTCATAATCGCCCTCTTCACGAGCTACATCCTCCATACGCGGAAGATCCAGGCCGTCCATGAGACGGTTCTCTCGATTTTTGCGGGTACGTTGTCCCCACGGCTCACTGATGTCGTTACCCACCTTGGCGTTCGTCAATACAAGCTCGGCGTAGTGGGCGTAGTCGACTTTGTCCATGACTTGAAAAGCTCGATCACTTGCAGGCAAAATTCGATCACCCGCACAATTGTGGGGTAATCTGCACATGTCCACTGGCCATGGCGTTCTAGCTCACCTCGTCATCGTATCGCGCTACAGACATCACACTAACGCCTTTCAGGAATGGTCGTTGGTCTCATACTACGCCTGTCAGCGCCCGCCTCAGTGCGCGATGCTGTTAGTTTCGACTATCAGATGTTCTTTAATTTGCTGCTACCTCCAATCATTTTGTCGGCTGGCTACGAACTACATCAAGTGAGCTGGACGTGCTGCTGCCATCACTCAGGTCCTAACATTACTAGGGCAATTTCTTCAGACACATCGGCACTATCCTTACCTTTGCTTTTGCAGGCACATTCATATCCGCCCTAGTCTTGGGTCTTATCTTGTTCCTGTGGACAAGGATACCTCTCGATGGCTTCAAGATCAACTTTGTCGAGGCCATGTCCGTCGGCGCCACTCTTTCTGCCACCGACCCTGTGACTATCCTGGCCATTTTCGACACCTACAAAGTTGAGCCCAAGCTGTACACTCTCATTTTCGGCGAGTCAATTCTCAACGATGCTGTCGCTATTGTCTTGTTCGAGACGGCGCAAAAGTATAAGGATGGCGCCGAATCGCTGGGACTTGTCAGCCTATTCGAGGCCTTTGGTATCTTCTTTGGCGTCTTCTTCGGTAGTCTCTTCATTGGTGTCACTGTAGGCATCGCTGTGTCTCTCATGCTCAAGTTCACTTATGTCCGTCGTTTCCCCAAGACGGAGAGTTGTCTGATTATCCTTACTGCCTACCTGACATATTTCTTGTCCAACGCAATCCACATGTCTGGTGAGTATTGTAGTCTATTTTACTCAACTCTTGCTAATGAGATCAGGTATTGTGTCGCTACTGTTCTGCGGTATATGCTTGAAGCACTACGCTTACCACAACATGTCAAGGAGAACCCAACTCACTACCAAATTCGTCTTCCAGATCACATCGCAGATCTCGGAGAATTTCATCTTCATTTACCTCGGACTCTCGCTCTTTACCGATGATAAGCTGGATTATAAACCACTCTTTATCTTGATCACTGTAGCCGGAATCTGCGCCGCTCGATGGTGCGCCGTATTTCCACTCTCTAGGATTATCAATGCTGTTACGAGATATCGGCAACGCCGTCGCGGAGAGGAGTTGGTAGAGGAGATTCCTTGGGCGCATCAGGCTATGATTTACTGGGCAGGTCTGCGCGGTGCCGTCGGTGTCGCACTAGCTGCAGGTCTTACAGGTAACAACGGCGATACGCTACGAGCCACTGTGCTTGTCGTGGTCGTCTTGACGGTCATCATATTCGGAGGCACCACAGCCCGCATGCTGGAGATCCTAGGTATCCGCACCGGTGTAGTAGAAGAGATTGACAGCGACGATGAATTCGACATTGAAGTCGTCACCGGCGGAACCTACACTCGCAAACAAGGCCAAGGCTACGGCCACACACCCCGCCCCAGCCAAAACGGCTTTACCCTCAACAACGTAAACGGCGCAGACGCCACCTACTCCAGCGGCTCCATAAACCGTGCTAGCCCCCCAATCCGCCCAAACGGCGCCACACGCCGCAACTCCAGCCACCCCCGCGCCCGCGATGGCGCTGACCAAAGTCTCCTCAGCCCCGCTGACAGCGGCTCCGCAGACGAAGACGACATCGACCTCGATCTTCCTCCTAGCGCACGCCGCTCCCCAAATCGCATCCCCTCACCCATGGTTGCAAACGACGGCTCTCCTTATCCCACATCCGGTCATCGCCCGTCGGGTTCCGCATCCGCAAACGACGGCGGTGGGGGCCCCAGCCGTGTCGCCACCGCTACCGGCGCTGTTAAACAGCTCTTCAATGAAATCAGCCATGATCCCGCCAACGCTTTCAAACAGATTGACGATGGCTTTCTTAAACCGCATCTTTTGCTTGATCCGGGTAAAGGGCCCGGGCCGGGTAATGTGTAGATGTGTATCACTAGGTTGGGCGGTTGGTTGGGATGGGTATCCCATAGAGTGGTGGGCGAAATCAGCATTTTTTGTGGCGTTGATGGTCTTTTATCTTTGTGGGTGTGAGGTGACGATTGATCTTTTATCCTTTCGGATCGAATGACTGCCCTGCTTGCGCCAAGTAGGGTGTGTATGTCGTAGAAATAGCTCGAGTGAGCCCTGAGTTAGATCTCGTTACAACGACGTTTGTATCATCGTTTCTGCTAAACATAAAGCTCTTTTTCCTTCATCATCGTGATTTCTGTTCGCTCCCTTTTGCGCACTTTTCCGCTATGCAGAGTTGGTTGTACCAGAGCACTGGTTTATGAGGGAATAGAATAGTGGGTGGGTGTAGAGTGGAAAGCGGTGGAAAACCTGCATGCTGAGATGTTGGACTCGAGGGGAATAAAGGATGAAGAATGAAGGTAACGAGCGTCTTTATTTTGTTCTGTTCCGAAAATGTATCAACAAAGAAGTCAATCTATATACAACCCCCACTCATCCCCTCATCAAGTCCCTCGTCCCCCACCATCTTGTCCTCATCTGCCGTCTCTTAAAAAGCCGGTTTAGCATTCTTAACCAACATCTCAAAGTACGCCTGATTCCACTGTCCCGCCTCAGGACTAGGCTTATACGCATCACTCTTCCCGCAAAAAGAGTCATACCGCGTCGCACTACTATCGCTCGTGCCATCGCTCTCACCACCAGGTTTGCCCCAAACAAAGCTATCCACGAGACTGGACCCCGTGTTTGTCGTGGTCCGGACACCGAAGCCAGCCGCCGTTGACATTGCACCAGTCGCCCCACTCTGCGCGCAGACCGGTGACGCCGTTGCGGCCTGTGTCAACGATTGCTTGGCCTGGCATGCCGTTCTTGACCAGCTCGGGGCTGATGAGGCCGATGTAGAGTTTTTCGTTCTGGGCCTTGTTGTATTTTCCATCGGCCGAGTTTGCGAATTCTCCGGGGGAGAGGTCCCAGGCGTTCCAGCCTGCGATGTTGGTGCTGATGCCGCGCACTTGTTTGGGGCTGCCGGCGGCTTTGTAGACCGTGGCGAGTTCTTTGGCACCGGGCTCTGTGAGAGGATTGGGTTAGTAAGGGGAGGTGAGGGGGAGAGAGGAGACGTACTGATGTTGTCGTCCCAACCGAGCCAGCCGCCGTGGCCGGCATCAATGTACATGGCAATGTTGGGGAGGTTGAGCTGCTTGAGAGCGTACGCGACACCATCGCGGTAGCCAGAAGCTGACTGCTGGCATGCCTGGACGTTGGCGTTGGTGACCAAGTTGGGCAGAGAGTCTGGCTCGATGATGAGAGAGATAGCCGTGTTGGGGTATTTCTTGAAGATGGCCACAATAGCTAGATATGGCGTGAGTATATTTTTTAATATCAGTCAAGCATTGGCGAACTCACGGTCAATGTACTCCGTCTTGTACACGTCAAGTTGACCCACGGCGAGTTCACCGTTGGACGCCTTGGCGGCACAGTCACGACCGGGCAGGTCGTAGATGACGAACGCGGCAATCTGGTCACAGGAAACGTTCTTGAGCTCGTCCTCGATCATGGCGATCTTGGCACGGGTGTCACTATGCAGCTGTTAATATCTCAGGAGCCAGTAGAATCACAAACAGAGAACTCACATCCAGAAGTAGGTTCCTACATCAGCAACCTTCTTAGCGGCTGCTGCCAAAGTTGAGTCAGTCATGGCTGCCGCAGCCTTGTTAACCTCATCGGCGTAGAACTTGTTGGCGTAGATCTTGCGGCCAGTGAAGGGGTTGCCAGTCAGCGTGACTGGGCTGGAGCATGCTGCACGAGCAGCCAATGGGCCGTTGTCGGCAGGAGTAGGAGCGGCGAGAGCGCCAGTGATGGCCGAAGCCAAAGCCACAGAGTAAATACCCTTCATGTTTTCTCAGGAGGAATGAGTGAATGAAAGTCTGGTGGTGGTTGATGCTCGTAGCTTCACGGAACCCAAAGCCTCTTATACCAACGTTTGTGAGCGGCTCGGGTGCCACCCCAGCTTTGAGGTACCAATTCATCAGGAATCAGGCCCGTAGACTGCGGACATGGGGTATAACCTTGGGTCTGTGCGATCAGCACTTGTGAGATGAGGCTTAAATGAAGGTATATCAACAGTGTTATGATCTTTGCAGGGTTTTCCGTCAAGTGACTCCAGTCAGATCAATGACAAGTACATACTTGCGCGATGGCGTCAATCTGCCACCCTCCAGTAGCACCTCTTCAGCTGGGTGATCGTTAATCAAAATACCATTGCTATGCGTAGATCGTTGAATGTGATCAGATAATGCCGCACTGATGGACCCTCTAGTCCCTCTCACGACTGTAATCTGGCATTGAGATATTAGCTAAACGTTTGCCCCCAACTTTCGTGTTTCTCAAAGAAGTTAATCGCCAAGGATAAATAGATGAACATATACATGAGACAACTTGCGGTTGCGGGGGTGCTTATGGTCCGGGTCTTCTACCCCGCGATCTGCACACAGAGTTTCCAGCCTTTCCTCGAAGGAACATAGAAAGCTGCCTTGGGGTATAATAACTGAGCCTGTATGGTACAGTATTGGTCAGTCTTGATGATTATGCCCCATTCTCAACTCATGGTACTGTCGGGTAGAATACCGCTTGCCAGACGAGATGTGTTCGTGCAGCTGTATGGAAATACGAATGATCGGGCCGACCGTCGAAACTGTGTACTCCAAGTATACTGTCTGATAGTACGCGTTCATACGTTTATCGTATGACATTCGTATGTCACCTGCTACTAAGATGCAGTGATAATGAGTACGTTTGTAGAAAGACCAATGGAGATGGCTGCTGCAATATTGTTGTATGAGCTGTTGATGAGAGAACCAGCCTATGGTGGAATACTGGCGGGTACATGAGCTTGACCCGGAATTCTTCGGTCGAAAAGCTTCTAGAAACGCGACCATGTACACCTGACTGTTGGAGTAGATGGATGTCGATCTTGGAGGCTCTTTAATCTTGCATTTATCCTGAATCACACCGTATGCGAGGCAGCCGCAGTTGACTTGACTGGCCAGCGATATAGCCAAGCCTCGTTAGGGATGCATACTTGCTAAATGGGACGTCTTGTAAGGTGGAGTGAGCACATGAGGCAGAATTCTGGAAGGCGGGAGATGGCAGACAACGGATGGCTGCCAGGCATGGATGTCTTCCTGGTAACGAAAGGACAGGGAGATGCGGTAGGCATACCACAAAATGAAGTAGTCGTAAGGAAAGAAACTGTGCACAAAGGCTTACTCGATACTTTGCCTACGATATCTTACCCGCTAATCTATTCGCGACTCGTTCTTTTCGTAAACTGCGACACTGGTCGGAGTCAAAGGTTCTGCTGAATACGGTGCAGCCAAAGAAAATGAGTACCTGCATATTGCTTCGTGAACCGTTACTTCCGTAAGTACCAGGTAGGGACTGTGTCATGTCCGGCTGCCGCGAGATGTTGGCAGCACCCACTTCGGTATTTGCAGGGCACAGTGCATCGGCAATTGCGGGGAGTAGTCACAAGTGCTCAGCTTGCGTGGAGTGCTGACAGCGCTTTTTCCAAACACGAGACGTGAGTGGGTGAGCGAGGTGAGGTTGTTTGGATGTCGGGTAATTACCCCAGGCGATGTCTGCCCACGCTAGGGACCTGTCCATTCCTACTCGGTGATAGTGTAATATGGGTATACTCTTGATCTATCTAAGCTTCCGCACCGGTGTGTCGCAAGCCTTAAACTCGAGGAGAATTCTTGAGCTTGTACAGACGTCCTTTTACTTCAGAACGTTTGTTGGAAATCGTTGGAGACCTGTACGAAGATGCATCTGGTGAGCTGTATGAAAATAATCACAGCATTCGAGTTTCCGCAATGCTCACCTCCCGGAGATCGGGCGCTACTTCGATATTACTAGTTAGACCCTGGTATCAGCGCACCTATACCACAGCTGTATAATCATATCTGCCATATTGATGCTACCAAGTTTCTAGCAAACCACATAGTTATACTACACCATTCGATAGACTTACCGTTGTCGTTCTAGGCAAGGGACATATAGTAGGATTTTGTAATCCTAACCACCTAATTCATGTCAATATCGATAGTCGCTATGTGTATAGACATCCGTTTTCCGGGTACGCATCTCGAACATCTAGTTTGGAGTACTCACGGTGTTCGCGAACCCATCTAATAGAGGATGATCTGTATTGAACATGATGATGTCCAAGATTTATTCAGCACTTATTTTGCAGTCAAATTCTCATGCACTGTGATACTGGAATGGTTGCTCCCAATGCCACCTGGGCTGACGGCGACCAACGTCCTGCTCAGGCAGTACGTAGACGTGTCTCGTATGGCAATAACGGCTTTGACTACGCATGATCGCGATCTCATTATAGTATTATTTGTTGTTATTGTTATGGCTAACTGTAGACCCGGCGTTTACTGTAAGAGAAGAAATATCTTGCCCCGTCGTGAAAGTGTCTGCTCGAGAATCCACACGGTATAGTGATTGAAGGCGATTAATCTTCTGCCGTGTAACCAGCTATGTATGTCCCAAGATACACTGAAAAGTCTACCAGTTGAGTGGGCAACTGTCTAAATAAAGCCTGCTTGATGATGAGTAACGTGAGTGACGATGTATACTTTGGGTGGTAGAGATCCCCAATTTTTTTACAAGCTGATAGGAAAGTGTTGGGAATCGAACCTGCGGTAGATAAGGCAGCTGGTTGCTGCATGCACGAGCTTGGATTACACGGCTGACTAAGCCGTGTGGTCCGAGCTCTAGCTGCTGCCTTACTGCCGACCTCCCTCCACCTCCATAGAACAACAAGAACAATCACAATCATTTCAACTCGTTGCAACGAAGGTGATTCCGATACCTTAGCCGTATCAACACTGATCAGTGGTTGCTACACCACAGATCGGCTAGATATCTGACAAGGAGACCCATCAGCTCTTTTGCTGTGTAGTCTTGGCCAAGAAGCGACTCCTCCTACCTCACAGTAGCAAGGAGTGCGAAGTACAGCACCGCCCGCAGAGACTACCTATCAAGGTAGCGCTTTCGCCGACAGTTCTGAAGGAGATCTTGAACGAAAAGATCTGCGTCAACCACGCACAAAAACAACTGACAACGCCTGCAACTAACAGCAAACAATCGACTGACTTCAGCACCATGGCACCATACAAGAGCGTCAAGTACCGATCGTGGTACTCCGAGATGCACAAGAGTGAGTATGTCAACGCGGAACTCGACCCGACCGACACAGTCATAAACACCGACAAACTGAACACTGTCGTCCTCGATTGGGTCGTCCAAGTTGAAGACGATGGACAGTTCGACCTCTTCATCCTCCAGGAGTTCCAAAAGTCCTTCGAGGATTGGACTCAAGATATCATAAGTGCGGTCGACGTGCGGCTCCGGAAAGCAGTCAAGGAATTGCTCCGACACCGAGGGATTTACATCCAGATCAACAGTCGTGACACAGTAATAACGCAACTGTACAACCTCCTCCATCTCTCGTCGTGCCCGATATGGCCTGACGACGAGCTTGGGCTTATGCGACTCGTCGACGGTTTCAAGTGTCGACAGCTCACAAACAGCAACTACAGTTACCCTAACCCTCCGCAGCCACCAACAGGATACCCACAAGCACAGTACTCACCGTCGCCAGCTCAACTCAACGTGACAGCACTCACAAACCTCGCGAAGCTGTACAATAACAACGATAAGTTCAGTGGTGACAAGTATGACGTGCTCAGTCACAAACTGGTCATCTTTCGAGAGCTTTGCGCCAAAGTCGGCATTCAACCTGGCCAAACTGACCGCTACAAGCTAGCCATCTCCACTATGCTTACTGGCAAAGCGTCAACTTACTACTACCAATCTATCGCTCCACTTGACCTTGGATACGAAGACATCATCGCGAAACTGGGCGCCTACTTCCACACTACCGAGAACTACCAGTTGTTCTTGAACGAATGGCGCACCATTATGCTAAAGGACGTCATCGCAAGTAATCCTGACAAGACAATTGCGCAATGCCTTGACTTGCTCATCGACAAGCTCCACAAGCTGTACCAAGCGATGGCTCAGCAGAATGGACTCAGCGAGTCAAGCCTCACCGGACAACTTGTGTCAGCATGCCAGGGTGTCGAAGCCTGCAGCGCAGTCCTGATCCGACCTGCGTCGACCTTTGAAGCAGTCGCTTCAGAGCTCCGCAACGCCGTCGGTAACTGGCAACGCTGTCACCCGCATGCTCGAACGCAGTTCAACTATGACAATGAACAGACAGACGATGACATCTTCTACACAAACCGACGATACAACCGAAACGACGAACCTCGCGACAGACCCCGAGGCTATGGCACCGGTCGCTTCAACCGCGGACCGACGCTGTCACGACCGCGATACCCTCCCCGCCGCTCGCACGATAAAAAGTGCTATGTGTGCGGCAAACAAGGATGCTGGTCAACGCGACATTCACACGAGGAGCGCAATGAGTCGCACCAACGCTTCAAGACTTATGTCCAAAACCACGATCTCGATGACGACTACGACGTGTTCCTCGCCGGATTCGAAGGCATCGAGCTTCATGACGAGGCAGAGGACGACGACGGCAACCGCGTTGATGACCTCGATGCGTACTTCCAACATGAACAATTCAACACCGCTGCTTGCGGAACCATCGACGGGCAAGCGCTCACCATCAACCTCAACGACGCCGCGGCGACCCACGCGATCACTGGGATCGACCCATACGCGTCGGAGACTGCAAAGGAGGCACCCCACATGTTCACCTTCGATCACCGATATGGTGCTCACTGTTTCCAAGGCATCATGCCCGACACCGGCGCGGCCGGAGTCTCCACTGCAGGAAAGACCCAGGTCATGGCACTGCAACGCCTCCAGCCATCGGCCACGATCAATGAGTCCACGGCAGGTCGCCACCGAATTCGATTTGGAGATAACCCAGAGTGTCTCTCACTTGGCGAGGTGAAGGTCAAAACCCCGCTCGGCGTTATACTTTTTGCGGTGATGCCGACCAACACGCCTTTCTTGCTGTGCCTTGCAGACATGGACCGCCACGGGATCTACCTCAACAATGTTGACAACGTGCTTGTACACGAGTCACGGGAGTACCCCATTGTGCGCAAATGGGGACACCCATGGCTCCTGCTCGACGACCAAGAGACCGCGACGCACTACCTCACCGAGGTAGAGCTTGCGCAACTCCATCGGCGCTTTGGTCATCCAGCTGCGGGACGACTCTACAAGGTCCTCGCGAGAGCAGGTTATGACGAAGTCGATGCGGCGACCATCGAAAAGATCAACAAGTTCTGTCACCAATGTCAGATTACTGGCAAGGCGCCAGGACGATTTCGGTTTACCCTCCGCGACGATATCAACTTCAACTATCGACTTATCGTCGACGTGATGTACATTAATCAGAGGCCAGTACTTCATGCTATTGACGAAGCAACTGCCTTCCAAGCAGCGCGCTTTCTCACCGACATGAAAGCAAGCACAACATGGGACACACTCCGCGCCATGTGGATCGATATGTACGTTGGTCCGCCTGATGTCATAGCCACCGACGCTGGCAAGAACTTTGCGAGCGAGGAGTTTGTCAACAATGCAAAGACAATGGCCATCGAGGTTGACGAGGTGCCTGTCGAGGCGCATAACTCCATCGGCAAGGTGGAGCGGTACCATGCGGCCATCCGCCGTGCCTTCGAAGTCATCTCCGCCAACATAGACAGCGACACGTCATCTGAACACCTCCTCCAGATGGCTGTGAAAGCCGTCAACGACACTGCTGGTCCAGATGGCCTTGTGCCTACTCTCCTCGTCTTTGGCACCTACCCCCGCCTATCCAAGACATCGCCGCCATCACCATCCATCAGCGCGCGCGCGAAAGCGATAAAGAACGCGATGGCGGAGGTCCGCAAGATCAAAGCAAAACGCCAGGTGAACGACGCACTTGCGACACGCAACGGACCGAACGTCATTGAAACGCTTCAGCTCCCGATCCAGAGCAGCGTAAAGGTTTGGCGCGAGAACCGCGGTTGGACTGGTCCCCATACCCTCATCGCCATGAACGACGACCTAACCGCCGCGATTGTCGACGTCGACGGCAGGCAGGCGACATTTCGAGTCACATCGGTGCAGCCATACCACCGCAACAACTCCACCGTTATCCCGCGCGACGACGACGACAACGACAATTGCGGGGATGCGGACGATGACGAGTTTATCCCAGAGACAGAAGTTCCACCTCCACGAAAGCGCGGTCGCCCCAAAGGCTCCAAAAACAAGCCAAAACCAGCTCCCATCGAGACCAACGACGTCAACCTCACGCAACGCGAGGAGGACGACTTAGTGCTGTCCAAGAAGCTGCGTGCCACTGGCAAGATCACAACCCTAGGCGAACCATTCGAACTATCCACCAAGGCAGAGATTGACGCGCTGATCACTCGCGGAGTGTTCCGCTTCGAGGAGTATGACCCTCAGCGCCATGGTGGCATCCGCGTCTTTAAGTCACGGATTGTCAACGAGGTCAAAGGCAAAACTACCACTAAGCCGTACGAGAAATCGCGCCTCGTTGTTCAGGGTTATGCCGATGATGGAAAACGGATTGTGCTCACACAAAGCCCGACGATCCAGCGCGCCAGTCAGCGCATTATTATCGCGCTTGCACCCTCACTGCTTCAAATGGGCATGACGCTATGGCTTCGAGATATCACGCAGGCGTACACGCAAGCCGATGACCATCTCCAGCGCACGATCATCGCGGATCTTCCCACGCAACTCCGCGATGCCTACCCCAAAGGCACCATCATGGTGGTCGTGAAGCCGCTGTACGGCATCGCCGAGGCAGGAGCGTACTGGTGGTCAACCTACTTCAAACACCATACCACGACACTCGGGATGGAAACATCAACCTATGACCCGTGCCTCTTAATCACCAAGCCAACGGCGTTAGGCTTTGGTATTGTCGGCATGCAAACTGATGACACGCTCGGTCTGTCCGATGACGTGTTTGCCAATAAGGAGAGCAAGGAGCTGCGCTTCAGCGCCAAAGAGAAGCAGTTTCTTACTACTAACAACCCTATCGACTTTAACGGGTGCGTCGTTAGTCTCACAACAGACGGCGTGATCACACTACGCCAAAAGAAACAAGGTGAGAAACTGGAGATCGCAACTGACAAGAAGACGTACATTCAACAACGCGCACGTGGCGCTTACATCGCGACAATCTGTCAACCCGAAGCAAGCTTCGACCTCGCCGCTGCTGCGCAAGCGAGTGAGCCTACAAAAGAAGAAATATCCAAGTTAAACAAACGCATCGAATGGCAAAAGAAGAACCTCTGCCATGGGTTGACCTACGTACCTCTGGACATACGCAACCTCAAGCTGTTTACCCTAGTCGACGCGTCCTTTGCCAACAACAAGGATATGAGCTCCCAGATGGGATTCGTCATCGTACTCGGCAATGAAGTCACCTCAAGCGACACAAACTTCGGGATACGTGGCAACATCGTCCACTGGTCCTCAGTCAAATGCAAGCGGATCACCAGGAGCGTCCTCGCCTCCGAGATCTACGCGATGGCGCACGGCGTAGATATCGCAGTCGCGATCGGCGGCACCATTGATATGGTCATGGAACGACTCAACTTACCTAAGGTCCCCATCGTGGTATGCACAGACTCGCGATCGCTATACGATTGCCTTGTCAAGCTCGGCACCACCAAGGAGAAACGCCTTATGATTGACATCATGGCAATGCGCGAAGCCTACGAGCGCAGCGAACTCATGGATATCAGATGGATCGACGGTCGCGACAACCCAGCAGACTCTATGACAAAGGCAGGTTGCAACGCCGCGATAGAGAACCTCATCAACTCTAACGAGCTCAACCTCCGAGTGCAAGGGTGGGTCAACCGTGATCGCAACACCAAGCCCACGACCGAGAGCACCGAGCTCAGCAACCTTGAAGGCACCAAGTAGTCAACGGGCACGTGTGCGCGATAACGAAGGACACAAGAGGAGGACATAAGGGCATACAGGAAGGCGTATAGCGCTAGCCGAGATAGGCAACTAGCTACATTTCGGCAGCAGGATATTATTACAGATTTGGAGGATTTGGGGACGGATCTGATCTCCCGGCACAAAAAGAAAAGATAGTCAGTGTTGGGAATCGAACCTGCGGTAGATAAGGCAGCTGGTTGCTGCATGCACGAGCTTGGATTACACGGCTGACTAAGCCGTGTGGTCCGAGCTCTAGCTGCTGCCTTACTGCCGACCTCCCTCCACCTCCATAGAACAACAAGAACAATCACAATCATTTCAACTCGTTGCAACGAAGGTGATTCCGATACCTTAGCCGTATCAACAGAAAGGCATATTTGTCGACACTGCTGTCGTCAACTAAGAGCGCATTCATAACAAAAGGAAAAGTTTGTAAGTTTAAGGAGAGGCGGACCAGAGATTTTGTCGCTAAGCGTTTGAGCTTGGCCTTGTTTCATGGAGATAACGGGAACCAGAGAAAAATGGCGGCTTTTCCTTGCCCATAAAATTGATGGTCTAAACGTGGAGTCCAAGAAGGCCTGTCAGTCAAGTACCGCATGTTCACCATTTGTCCCGTAAATTTGGAAGATGCGACCGCGGCCTCATCCGAGATTTGTGCGATTATGACATAGGCCATTGCAGCTCACATGATTAGTCTTGCTGATGGGAGGCTGGCGCGGAAGCCAAACAGCTATGGTATGCCAAGTGGGCGACTTAGGATGAATTTCTACGCATGTCAAACGTGCATGTAAGAGGATTGCAATTGTTGTGTGAAGACGCGATGAATTCCAGATGATGGTGTTGCAGTACTGTAGGAAGGTACGCTAGCGAAGGCGCGTGCTCAAGAGCGAAGCGGCTGGCGTGCTTGATCAGTGGCGGGGTCGCAAAGGCTTATGATCATGCAAATCAACACGCCTATGGAGATGCGTGCGTCCACAGGCATATGATCGAGCTATAGCATCTTCGTATAGGTGCCTAACCTACTCAGAGATGCTACAATACGCGACTTATACGCCCGACTCGCTGTGGTGGCATCACGGTCACATTGCGACGACCATAATAGGGTATAATCCATGTCCACGCGTGACAAACACCATTCTCCATCTCATCCCACTTAAGATATCGATAGGTAACAACCCTTGCGCAGGCGTAAGAGCCCTGGAACTTGAGCCGCGTCCAACAGGCCAGACCGCCTTGGCTAGGCTGTCTCGACCATTGATTCGACTAGATGGCTTGCTGCATGAATGGGCGGCGATCCCAACACCAATAGTTAGTATCACACGGCGTGAAAACAGCTTGTTCAGAACATCTTCCATCCCCTTCGTTTAGTTTTCAACACGACTTTACGTTTTGTCGTCTTGCTCTTGGTGGAAGAGTTCTTTCTTTGAAGCTTGTCGCTGCCTCACAGCCCCTCCTTGCAAAATGGCAATCTTCAAAGACTCGAAACCGCGCGTCTCTGTCGCTGAATTCGACATTGGAATCAGTAGCTCCCAAGATGCCGAGAGACTGCAAGTAGGCGCATTCGGTGGTACAAACCACGATGCTTCCGATATGCATAGGATGGGAAAGAAACAAAAGCTTCGGGTACTTTCCCAGAAGCCCCAATAGATCGTTGTTTTGCTAACTGCGCCTTCAGCGAAACTTCCGCCTAATTTCCATGATAGGTTTTGTGGTTGTACTCCAGTCAACGTGGGAGAATACACTTCTGTGAGTGCCTTACCTACCACAGAATCAACATGTACTGACATTTTTGCAAGTTATACTTACTTCGGGATATACAATGGAGGCTCAGCAGGTATTATCTGGATGATGATCATCACATGGCTTTTTGTCCTGGCTTTGGTTGCCTCTCTCGCCGAAATGGCATCAATGGCACCGACCGCTGGCGGTCAGTATCATTGGGTCAGCGAGTTTGCACCGTCATCGTTCCAAAAGTCACTCAGCTACATCGTGGGTACGTTGAATCCGAGCTTTCTATGTTTCATGTACTGAAATACGTCCCAGGTTGTGCCACGACGGTCGGTTGGATTGCCGCTATTCCTGCATGCGCGCAAATGCTTTCGAAATCCGTCATCGGTATGATCCTTCTTGCATACCCAGATTCCAACATAGGACAGATATGGCATATTACACTCCTCATGATGCTATTCATCATCCTCATGGTCGGATTCAACATCTTCTTCACGAAGCGCCTGCCACTTGTCGAGGTCTGCATGCTGGTACTGCATGTAATCGTCTTTTTCGCTTTCTTGGTCATATTTTGGACAATGACTAAGCGCGAACCTATGATGAATGTTTTCACGACATGGAACAACTATGGAGGGTGGAGTTCACAAGGTCTATCGGCATTTGTCGGCTTATCCACCCCGCTCTGGTGTTTCATCGGACCTGACGCTGGAGCTCACATGTCCGAGGAGTTGAAAAATGCTTCTTCTTCACTTCCCAAGGCCATGATGTGGGGCGCATTTCTCAACGGGATCCTTGGATGCATCATGATGATCACCTTTATGGTGTGCGGTGGTGCTTCAGAAGGTGTCATAGCGTCTATGACTGGCCAACCCGTGCTACAGGCCGTCTATGATGCGACGGGCTCCATCACAGGTACGGAAGTTATGGGAGCTTTACTGATCATCCTGGTCTTCTTCGCTGCCGTCTCTGTTACTGCTGCATCTTCGCGTCAGATCTGGTCTTTTGCTCGAGATAGGGGACTTCCATTTTCCCCATGGATTGAGCAAGTGCCCGCTAATAAGGATACTCCCGTCAACGCCTTGCTCGTCTGTTTGGGCTTAGCGCTCGCGATCACATGTATCAACTTCGGTTCAGACGTCGCCCTAAAGGCAATAGTTTCCATGTCGAACGTGGCGCTAATATTGTCCTATATCATCTCGATTGGATGCGTTCGGGCTAAACGACTCCGAGGTGAACCTCTGCTTTCCCGACGCTGGAGCTTGGGCAAATTTGGGGGTGTTGTCAATGACCTCGCTCTCGGTTTCTTGTTTGTATCATTCTTGTTCTCTTTCTTTCCTATGATACCGAATCCTACTGCCATCGACATGAACTGGGTATCAGTCATGTTTGGTGCGTTGGTAATTTTTGCCACAGTCAACTACTTTGTTAGTGCGCGAAAGAGCTATACTGCCCCGGTGTCGCTGGTGAAGAAAGATTAGATAGTAACGCATTATAAAAGTCTTATGATTATATCTCATAGATCAGTCACCACTTGAGAAATGTCCGGGGAAATGTCCATGGGTACGTTCGAGACAATCATGCCGTACACCTCTGGATTGGATTTCGCGTGTGAGCTTCCCACTAACCTGAAATAGCCTAGCGCTGTCTGTTTTGACATACTAATGGATCCTTCATCCACCCAGGAGCAACTACACAATCACTTCATACTCCTCACATATAAGTACGCCAAAAATATTCACCACCTACACAATATCGTCTGTGACATCTTGCACCATCTCCTAGCCACGCTACTAGAATTACCCCCTTCAGGATAGGGTGCGGGGTATGCACATATGATTGGTTGAGGGCCTTGCATCAAGTCACATAGCAGCAACTTCGGCACTGGGAAATAGCACGGTATCTTCGATCAAGATGTCTCAGCCCTTGACTGAGGCAGACATCATCTTTCCACACCTCTCCAATACACCAAATCTCTCCAGCACACTTTCATCCCTACGCCGCTCGACACTGTCCACACACAACCGTCTTACCTCGATAATATCTGACAGCAATTTTGTCACAACGGTTGCATCCGCGTACGATCTACCGTTAGTAGCTAATGAACGCTGCGGTAGCTGGTATATCCCGCCGTCCCAAAAGTCCGGATCAGTCTATTTCAAAAGTACAGACGGCCATATGGGTGAATGGAGCTTTAGTCTAAGAAGACTGAACTTGCAGTTGCTGGATGTAGTAGGAAAATGGGGCGGGGCAGTTGTTGTGGATAGTACGAGGAGAGGCAAGAGTATGCCTGACGCCTTGAGCAAGACAACACCGATTTGGTGTTGTGTCATGAACAGAGCTATTTTTGGCGAGGAGAAAAAGCAAGAGACGAGCTTGTTCACGCCGCCACAGGCTGTGAGCGAAAGTGAGCATGCGCAGATGGAGAAGAGGATAGATGGTTTTGTAAGGCAATTCTTGGTACGTCGCTAATCCTGTGTTCATCATCTCCGTGCCACAGCCTAACCAGACCAGGAAATCTGCAAACCCAACATCCCAGATCTACGTAGTAAACTGCAAAAGCCACTTCGACCTATCTGGATTACGCAAAAGTCTTCTCTCCCCGAGTCACCACCTTCTTTCCCGGATTTCCATCCTATCGTGCTTTGCACGGCATCACGACGTGTCCACGGCGCAGAAGCATCAGAAAGCGGATACATCCAGGGTGCTGCCGACGACCACGAGGCATGGTCTCACGGCCTAACGTCACCGCTATTCTGGAAACACAAAGACGCATTGATAACTACAAGCGAAGAAGATGCCCCTGCCCTAATTAAAAAGCTCATCTCTTCAGAGAAAGCCAGCAACGCAATCGCAACCCTAATCAACCCCACAACTCAAATCTACATCTCCCCCAGCTCAAACATAGAACTCAAAACCTTCGACACCGTAATCGGAGCCACCCCCACCCCCTTCTCCCCCGATGAGATCAAACGCGCAGGCGTAAGGAACTACCTCCACCTCCCTTGCCAACCCGGGAAACTCGGCTCTCGCGATCTCCGCACCCAACTCCCTCGCCTCATCCCCTTCATCTCCTCGCTCTCTTATGAAGTTGGGAAGATTTTACTTTGCTGCCCAACAGGCAAAGATCTCTCTGTCGGCACAGCGCTAGCACTGCTCTGCCTCTACGCCAACGACACGGGCGTTCTTGATACCGGAACCCCGCGCCCGGCAAGAGAGATAGGGAAGGCGTTTATTAAACAGCGGTTGAGTTGGATTACGACGAGTGATCCGGCGTTGAATCCTAGTCGCTCGACGTTGCAGAGTGTTAATGCTGTGTTGTTGGAAAGTCGGGATCCTAAAGGTAGTATCCCCATACCGCTTAGACCGTCAAGCATACCACTCTCATCCCCTTCCCCACGACAATCCCTCCCATCCACCATCTTCACAACCCTACAATCGCCCACGACCAACGACCCAGCACCCTGGCTCTTCACACGCACACTAACCTCAGCCCTCCCCACGCACCCGTCCGGCCGCGTAACAGGGACCGCAACATTTACACTTTGCCCTCTGCCCGCTAACTTCCCGCCTACGCTGTTGTATGCGGAGGAGGGCGCGTTTGTTACGGATACGGGGGTGGAGTTTGGGGTCAGGAAGAGGTATGTGTATCAACTGAAAGGCACGGATGATGAGGATGGAGGAGAGTACATATCCGTCTCCTTTTTCAACGACGAAGCGATGCCACGGTCGAGTATTGAAGATGGTGTTGGAGGGAAGGGGGAGGGTGTTGGGGGGTTATTTGTTGAGATGGGTGAGCTTATTCCTACTACTGCAAACCCAGGGGTAGATATGGTGGAGGGGATGTTGCAGGCGAAGAACAAGGAAACGCATCTTTGTGCTCAGGACTTGTATACAGCGAGTTGGAGTTTTGGAAGGGGTATGTTAGGTCGAGAGGCAGGGGTAGGGGCTGGAAAGAGAGAGAGAGAGGATGTGTGGTGGGAGGTTCGATATGATGTTAAAGGGCCGAAGAAGGAGTATGTTAGTAAGACTAGGTATACACGTGTGTAGGTTGGGGTGAGGCCGATGATGGGGGTATGTAGATGAATATATTCTAAATCCGGTACTACTTCTATACCTTGACCTGAATGTGTAGAGTAGGGTATCTAATCTCGCACAACAACAAGCAACTGCACCGAACGCCGTCGTATGCTCATACAGCTCCACAGTCCTTCCACACAGAAACCCAACTCTCTTGAGCTATACAATCTTAACCCTCTTGATCCCCAAACGGATAATTAAACTTCAACAGCGCATTCAACCCCCCAACCCAATGGTCCTCAGCCATATCCTCCTTCCCACTCGTACCCCTTACAATACTCGGCACGCCACCCTCCCAGCCCCTGGCATCCCTCTTCACCACCTCACCCCCAATCCTCACCTCCATGCCCGTACCCAGCTTTTCCGTAATCGTGTTTCCATCGATGCTGACCTCGACTTCGCGGCCGCGGTTCTTCTTGCCGAGACGCAGTGTGATTGGCGTTTCGGCGGGGAGGACGAGCGGGCGGAAGGATAGGGAGCGGGGACATATGGGTGTGAGACAGATGGAGGGGACGAGGGGGTGGACGATGCTTCCACCCGAAGAGAGGGAGTATGCGGTTGATCCCGTGGGTGAGCTGATTATCATGCCGTCGGCTACGGCTTCGGTGAGAAACCGGTTGTTGATGTAGACGTCGATTATTTTTAGGTGCGGGCTGGAGCCCCGGTGTAATGTGACTTCGTTTAGGGCGTATGTATCGCTGGAGCCCTCGTCGCTGCCGATTCGTTGCCCGTCGGGCCCGAAGACGCCGACTTTAAGTCTGTTGCGGAGGAGGATGCGTGCGGTTCGGTTGCTGCCCATTGCTTTGCCGCGTATGTCGGCGTAGCTTAACGGGCGGTCTAGAGGGTCGTCGGGTGATGTTGGTGGTGTGGGTGGGTTTGCGCCTAGGGTGTCGGAGAGGGTCGAGTAGGTGTCTGGCGCACCACTCATGTAGACTTCTCGGAATGCGCGCTTGTATTCTCGGAACTTGAATTCGCCCAGGAAACCAATCGTGCCCATGGCGAAGCTTAGGACGGGTGGTACGCTGTCGGCATGGCTGAATAGGCTGCTAGCTCGTAACAGCGTGCCGTCGCCTCCCAAAGTGCAGACCAGGTCGGTTTTATCCGTAAGCTGGACAGCTTTGTCGTATGTGTATACGGGGAATAGTAGCTGCTCGTGTAGCTCCTGGGCAGTCTCGGGTTCGAAAAGAATATTTATCGACGGGTAGGTGGACCGTATATGGGACGTGAATTTGATGACGGACTCGGTGATGTTAGGCGTGCGCTTCTTCTTTGTGACGAGGATATTCCGCGGTGGTGAAGGCCATTGCAGGCTGAGTAGCGTGTTGGCCGGGGACTGGATGTACGACGGCGTTGTGCGCGATGGAAGCTCAGAGATGTTCCTGATCTCAAGAAGGCGCGCAGTGCAAGAAAAGTTACGTACTTGCCGAGTGGGCAAAGCAAGACGCCTCCATGGCAGAATGCGACGAACAAACATGTTCTGGAAACAGGCTGGAGCAACAGGCTATGGAGGATTTTGCACGCGATAATGTGCGCGGAGCTTGAATCGGAGCGTGGCCGCCATATGACCGGGTGATGACGAGTCAATTCATGGTGGGATGAATTGTCTTGCTGTATTTCGAGGAAAAAGCTCCGTGTGAGGTGGGGTGAAGGCTAGGATGCGGAGATAATGACAGGCCAGCGACTAAACTCCATCTTCACGTGAAACCAAGATGACAGTCGGAACAAGATGGAAATTGCGAGTGAAAGGAGCCGGAGGGGCGTTAGCGGCCGAGTCAGGACAAGCTATCCCTGCTACGTTGGTGGGGTACTACTGCCCGTGTCATCATCCGACATGCACATGGAAAGCTGCGGCTCGGCATCAGCTTATTCCTCAACCCGGGAACCATGGATGCAAGTTGCGCCATCTTCCACACGTCTCCATATCGTTCTTTTGGGCGTCTACAGGGGGGAAACATTGCGTGAAGGCTGTCGCTCGCTACTTGTTTGGTGCCGAGATACACGTCGTCCGTATCTCACGCGTCCACCTGAGCAATACGACTCAGGCCAGCCCACTGCGTGCACGCGCACACTTGCACCAGACGTTACTACAAAACTCCTGACATCTGTCCCTGCGCATGTCCCGGCATAGCACATTATGACTACCAAAGGCCTCCGGCTGCGACAGCCGCCTGTCTCCGTTCCCGTTATCGAGAAGCTGAAGGCACAACGGACCAAAACACCAGACCCTACAAAACACCCAGCCGGCAAAGTCAAACATGGCCTCTTTACCCAGACGCTCCGCATGTACTTGTTTGGAGTCTACTTTGCCATCAGTATCATAGCGTTAGTATACACCCTTGGCTGACTGCTGCCTGGGATACTAACAACATGCCTCAGCATTGCCATCACCCAATACATCGGCCTGCCATTGTATTTCTATAGTAGGGACCTCTTCTACGCATGGATGGCCATGTCGAAGCAGCATTTCGGCAGCGTCGTCATGACCATGACATACTGGTGGGCGCCTGTCACTATGCGCGTCAGTGGAGACGAGAGTGTGAGGGGACAGCTGAGAAAATCAAAAGACGGGAAACTCGAATGCGACTTCCCCGAAAGACTGGTACTTGTTGCGAACCACCAGGTCTGTCCCTCCCAACTACCCTACCACCAAAATTAAAGGCTTACGCAAACCAGCTCTACACCGATTGGGTCTACATATGGTGGACATGCTATACCGCTTCCATGCACGGTCACCTATACATCATTCTCAAGGAGTCGCTCAAATATATACCCGTACTTGGCTGGGGAATGAAGCTCTTTGGCTTCATCTTCCTCTCGCGCAAGTGGTCGACCGACAAGGAGCGCTTCCAGCATCGTCTGAGGAAGCTGAGCACAAGCCATAGCGGCCCGTTATCAGGCTCAAAGGGTCTTGATCCCATGTGGTTGCTCATCTTCCCCGAGGGCACAAACTTGAGCACAAACGGTCGCGAGTCAAGTCAGAGATGGGCAGCAAAGAACAACATGCCGGATTTGAGACACGCCTTGTTGCCGCGGAGTACAGGACTTTCCTTCTGTCTGCAAGAGCTCAAAGGCTCCATCGGTCATCTATACGACTGTACAGTAGCCTATGAAGGTGTCCCGTAAGTTCTCGCTACTACGCTCTCGTCCCTCATTAATCTAACAAGCCACCCAGCGTAGGCCAATACGGCCAAGACCTCTTCACCCTCCGCGGCACCTACTTCCAAGGCCGCCCCCCAAAATCCGTAAACATGTACTGGCGCCGCTTCGCCATCGCCGACATCCCCCTCCACGACGAAAAAGAGTTCAGCGACTGGCTCCTCGCCCGCTGGCGCGAAAAAGACGACCTCCTCCAATACTTTGTCGAACACCAACGATTTCCCGCCGACGACGGCGTCACACCGAATGTCAACGGCGGAGAACCGCTCCAGGGCCCCGGATGGATAGAAACGGATATCAGACCAAATAGGTGGTGGGAGTGGTTGCAGATTTTTGTTCCTACGGCTGCGTTGGGGTTGGTAGTTAATGTGTTTGTTAAGATTGCGGGGATTGTGATGAAAGTTGCGCGAGTACGGGATTGAGAGATGATGATGGGTGGGTTCTGCGGAGGGATAGGCTAATGATGATGATTATGCTGGGTTTTGTTTACTACAGTTATTGTCGTTTGCGAATTTGCGCTAGGTAGACCGCTTTTGATACCCTATGTCGACGTTTCGTTTTCTTTTCTGTCATTGCCGCTCTGCCTCTCCTCTCCGCATTAAAGACCGAGTCAAATATATATTTATACATGTTAGTAAACCTAATTACTCGCAAACTGACGTTTTTAATTCCCCTCCCCTCAGGGAAGAGAACTTATCCTCAGAGACAACGTAAGTTACCTGAGATGATAGAATATCAAGGAAGCTGCGTGGGTAGTCTTGTGTCGATACTACACCATTGTAATCTAGACTCTTGTGTACGACCGAAATATCAAACGGCAAGACTACGTAAGTGCTCTTTTCTGCCCTGTTTTAGAGTTGGGATGAAAGAAGGCGCAGACTGAGGATAGAAGACCAATGGAGAGCATGTAATAAACCCCATCTATCACATGCCTTCCTTCTCATCAGCTCTCAAGACCCTCCATAGTCTCCACAACTGTCCTTTCAATCTGCCGCCACCTCCTTACCAGCGCCTCCCGCTGCTCCACCCGACCAACATCAAGCTTCTCAACATCCACCACTGTCTTCTGAATCGTTTCCACAAATGAATCCAAGATTCCCTTCAGCGTACCCCTCACTCTAGGCGCAAATTCCTCGCCTGCCTCAAAATCCACAAACTGCTCCCATTCCTCTCGCGTACAACACAACATGCGCAACGCAACCTGCGTCCTAAAGCAACCCCCCGTCTTTGGATCAAGTATATACTTACCCAGAAACCCCCTATCCTTCAATGCATCTTTCTGATCTTGCGTTAACCGTGGTAAAATGGCCTCATCGAGGCAGACTACATCCCAGCAATTCTCCGTAGGCACAAAGCCATACTCGGTAAGTAGGAAATCGGTAGAATGGGATCCATAAGAAATGTGGAGTTCCTCGCCTGTGCGATAATCGCGGTCGGCGATGAAGGAATAATTTTCAGATGCGAATCTTGCTTCACAGCCCACGTCGGCGTGGTTGAATAGGTCGGCGACGGGGAGGATGGCGAGTCTGTCGTCGTGGGGTAGGCGTTCCATGATGGGTGTTGTGCAGTAGAAGGAGCGTGTGTTGACGAGCAGCCAAGCGTGAAGATACTGATCTTGGGAAATGTTTGAGTAGGCTTTTGAGACGATGTCCCAGTCTCGCTTGAAGCTTCGCTGTTGTTTCATGAGTAGATCTAGGGCTGGTTTGGGGAGGAAAGGATGGAGCTCCGCTGGCCATAGGAAAGGCATGCCGGCTTCGAAGGAACTCAGGTCTGGGAGTGTTTTGTTTGGTATAGCGAAGGTGTCTGTTTTGTCTAGGGAGAGATATGTGGCTAGTAGGGCGTGGAGTGACATATTTCGGGGTAGTCTTCGTGAGATGGCTTTTGGGACATGTTTTAGAGTTCGGAAAAGTTTGAAGGGGACGAAGAGGATGGTTTCGCCGGCCTAAATGTGGTTAGAGATGGATTTGAAATGGTGCTTAGGTTTGGTACCTGGATGTCGCGTGTCGCGATGATTCCTGTGCCTCTACTGAGAATGTTTTGAGGCTTAATCCCGCTGAGTTTGATACCTCGTTCAGTTGCCCATGATAGTAGCTCTTCGTATGTATCCATCGTGGGCGAATTAGTGTGGTAGTCACGTTATCCCTTTGCCTTGCACTACTCCTGATCACGTGTTCGCCCGTGTTTAGGTGATGTTGACAGGTACGCGGAAGAAGAAATTTTCGTCGTCTGGCTAAGTATGAACAGCGGATTTGGAGCATCCAGACGCAATACGACGTTTGTCTATTTGACTACGATATGTAGAAGAAAGATCCCTGCTTGTTGCGCGGCAGTGTATTAAAGCAGAAGATAGTTGCAGAAATTGGAGATGGTGATGGTTTAGCGCGGGGGCCGGTTAGCTTGCCTGCCCTGTAGGCTGCAGCACTACAGCGTTTTGAGACTAGCTCCAAGACGACAAGGAAAGCAATTATATGACGACTGTCACAATCTCCAAAGGTAAGGCCCACAGCGGGACGGCAAGTGGGCGTAGCCCGCCTTAACTAGGATCGTAAGATTATTAAGTGCCTGTGTAAAGGCGGCGCTTTACCTACCCCAATCCTGCTTTCCAACCCGCTGGAATGAACCAGTCAAGCTTCGGCAAACAGAAGTGCTTTATCTGAAACGGTCGAATGTAAGCCTACAGGATCAGATGGAAGCTCTGGTATGTGCAGTGAGTTTAAGAGCCTATCAGAACTTGGAAGCTATAACGTGTTGAACCAGTCAACTAATAACTCATTCAATGTCGAGCCATGTTGGTTTCGCGCCAGCTCATAATCACGGTAGTAACATCAGGTTATCGAGGGAAATTTGTTGGTGAAATTGATTTTGGCATATGTTTGACTGCTTGCTTTGATTTTCTTAGTATTATCTTGCGACGACTCTGGTTGCGATGAGTAGAAATCAGCTTCTGTGATCGGACTCCACTACATATATAACCGTATCTTGGGTAACGATGTTTTCATTCTGTTCTCTACTTTTTATTACGATTGTGGGTAGGGTCTATGTGCGATCATCCCAAATAAAGATTTTCCTAGCTCAATTATGGCGGCTAAAATCCCGTTTAGACACAGGCCGCCTCTGAAGGTTGAAAAGCCACTGAATAAGGCTGTTACTATCGGCTTAAGACACTAGATCACTGCTAAGTTTATTTTTGCACTCATGGAAAAAAAGCGACCTCGACGTCATAAGTAAATGTGATAAGAGGGTGAAAGTGTTGATTGGTAATCTTGCGCCTTCGATATGGAAGGGCAGAGATTGTGGCTGCCGCCATGCGAATTTAGCGATGGCGTACGCATGTGATCAAGAAACTGTCTCAACTGATAAGCCATGTGAAGGCACAGCCGTAAATACAGCAATACGATTTGCCAAAGTTTGTACCCGCGGCTTTGGCCCCCTAACTGCTTCCTGGAGGTGTTGTGGGTGAAGTGCGCTCTGGTTCTTCACGTATCGGTCATCTGCGCCCCTGGAGATACTTCATGAAAATTCATTTTCATTCTAGAATAGCATATTCTGAATCATTTCCTTGGCCCCAAATAACGTTTCAAGATGACTTCAAAAATTTCGCATATCCAGATGGTGATTGTACGTTCTACAGATGTCGGGGAAATATGGAGCGCAACAGTTGTGCGTTACGAAGCGACGACGGGTGTTAGGATCCAATCTCTCGTTGGACCCAAGAGCGTGGACGAGATTCTTATCGATTTTAAAGATAAGGAGAATATCTTCGCAGGTCGCCGCCATGATGGTTCCAGAGTAGACAAGTTCAGATCGTTGGTGAGGAAGAGCCTTGGTCCGATCGAGATGTGGGGTAAGGTGATAACCAACGCGACGAAAAATGTAAACGGTGTATGCGCTCTTCGATATTTGATGTAGCTGACCCTTGTGATGCGACAGATTTTCCCCGCCTCTGAAGCCATCTTCGCTGCTGTTCAGTATCTTATCAGCGTACAGTCCCTGCCGCGATGTGGAATCATAGTTGCTGATAAATCTAGACTGCGAAAGCCGTATCCGCCGATTTCGACAGACTTGAAGAGTTCTTTGAGGAGCTCTCTTCTTATCTAACACGACTCAAGGTGTGGGAGAGTGAAATTCCACAGATAACAGAGCTTGAAGAAGTCATGACGGAAGTTTTCACATCGGTCCTTGTACTTTGTGGAATTTGCACCAAATACGTCAGGATGCGAAGGCTAGGTTAGTAATAATCTCCCTACACTGCCTATCATGGAGTTCACCACTGACACGCATATTTCTGCAGTCAAAGCATTTCGAGCTCTAGCGGGCGAAGATGACGAACTGAAATCAGCATTCAACCAATTTCGTAAAACGATCCAGAGAGAACAAGGCATAGTTCGTAACTCAATTCTAGCAGGTGTACAGCACCTCAAGCTAGGGAACAAAGCCGTACATAAAGATGTTACAGAGACCCTAGTGTTGACGGAAGGGATAGAGACCGCAAGACTGATGATATTGTTATCGGCACAAATGGGATACACAGGTACCTAGAAAGTATGGTTAGATAAATCTTACACCACTCAGATACTAAAACCTTTTACAGCTCAAGAAACCACAATCGAGCGTAAAAACATACTGTCGTGGCTCTCTTCTTGTCGGATCGTGAGTATCGGTAGAGGCGTCGGCTGCTGGACACTTCGGCCCGACTTCGGCCCACCTTGCGCAGAGCTTAGGTATACCTTCGTAGTAGCTATGTTCGTAGACAAAAAGAACAATCACCGAACAGAATGCATTCCTAGTTATCGTTATTCCCTTTACGCACTTAGTGCAAAGCCAACCAACACTTCTCTTGATTTCCACAAAAAGCAAAGAGATATTGTGGTAGAGGGATAGCCTCAATAGTCAGAAGAGAGGCTGCCGACCCGCAATCGGTAGAGAGTAGAGAACAAGAAGGTATCCGAACAATAAACGGTAGTATTAAGAATGGTGTACGATAACTGTCGAGCTCCTCTACGCGGAGTCGTCCTAAAATACTCAACCCTAGCGCCGATTACCTAACGCCGAACACGTGACAAGCTACTACACCACATTTTCCTCCCCAGCCTCCAGCTTGGTCCCCTCAAGCTGCCGAATGCCTCTCAAAACTATCCGACCCGCTTTCGACGACTCCTCCGACTGTCTCGCGATGCCTGCCGCAACCTGCAACCATGCTGCCTTCCTGACAAACACTCGCGTTTGCTCCTCCACCTCCGAAGCGCTCTTAACCAGTCCAGGCCAGAGGTTCTTGTTGAAAGTCCCTCCGCAAGCCCACCGCTGCCTTCAACTGCTCTCTCACCTTACAACCACGGCAGCGATCGCCTCTCTTCTTCCCCAATAGCTGCTCGGTGATGCTAACCTCCCCAGCCTCTTCTGTCTCCCTTACTCTGTGTCGCTGTCCCCGCGCGCTATCCGGAGGCGCCGGCTTTGCCCTCCCCTTCTTGAACCTTCCACGATATTTCCTCGGTTTATCCCTCCGACTATCGTTCGCCTGTCTTGCTCTCCTTCGCGGTCCTCCCCAGCCTGAACATCTCTTGTCTGGTCAGCTCTTGGCGTCGCTTGCCTTTGTCTTGGCGCCGTAGGCCTTGCCATTGGCAATCTCTCGGTCTCGGGATACAACCGCAAGCGCCCTCGCAGCAGGCTATCTTCTAGCTCCTCCGGCAGTTCTTCGAATTTCTTTAGGCGATCAGCCCGAGTTGTATTCGGAAAAGCAACCTCATTTAGATCCTCTAGCCGGTAGTACCCTTTATCTGCCTGCGCCTCCCGAACTCTGTATGGACCTCTCCACCTGTCATCGAGCTTCCTATCCGAGCTCTTGTCGATGGACTTAATCGCGTCCCAAACTAAAACTAGGTCTCCTACTTGAAAGGGCTTCGGCACGTCCTTCTTAGCGTTGCGGCTCTCCACAGCTTCTCTCCGAAGTCTTCTCGTACGTTGGACTGCTTCTTCCAGGTTCTCTCTGCGGAATTGCAGCTGCGTAGCTCTCACCGCAAGAAGATCGGCATGGCTCCGAACTTCGCTCCACGGTAGGCTTTGCCACGTTGGCACTACAAGTTCAATCGGAAGGACCGGATTTTGACCAAGCACCAACTGCGCAGGTGAGAACCCGAGCGGTCTTCGTAGCGACACTCTCTCGGCCCACGTTATTGCTGACAAGTTGTCTATCCACAAGCCCGGCATCTTTGCCAGCCCATGGATAAAGCCTTGATGACCTCTTTCGATAAGCCCTTGCGCGCGCGAGTTATACGCGGAGGCTTGAACCCGTTGAATACCAAAGAGCGTAGCCAGCGACTGGACTACTGACTTGTTCTCGGTTCCGCCGTCTACCGAAATCCTTTCGGGCACACCCCAACGACAGCAGATCTCTTCAAAGATAAACTTCGCAACTGAATCGGAACTTGCTGTCGAGAGCGCACGAGTCTCTGGCCAGCCCGAAAGATACTCTCTTGCAACTAGCAGGTAGGTCCTGCCGCGTACCCTCGGCATGTGCGTAATGTCGACTGTCCACCAAGACCACATTGCCCGAGAGTATGTCGAGTTAAGCTCTGCTTCTTTCCGAGTGCCTCTCATCGTCTGGCAGACCTTGCAAGGCCCGAGCTGCTTCGCTACCTGTCTGTACATGCCGTCCCACCAATACCGCTGACATACAGCTCCGAACGTCGTCTGGATCCCTTTATGGCCTAACCGCTCGTGGATTTCCTGGATTAACGCTGCCTGTAGGTCTTCTCCGTCTACCACTCGGCGGACTGGCATAGCCTTGGTAGCTTTCCTAAACAGGTGTCGGTCTCGCACGAAGAAGCGCGCCGCATTCTTTGTCCACTTTCGCCGTTCTTGACCCCGAAGCCCATCTGGTCTCTTCAACGTCCGCAGGAACACCGCAATCTCCTCCGACTTCTCATCGTACTCCTCTGTGAGCAGCTTCCCAATCGTCTCTTCAGTAGCCATAACTAAATTTGTCTCCTCATACCTGTTTAGCACCCGATCGATAAACGGCTCTAGGTCATCCTCGTCTTCCTTTGGCGGCGTCCACCCCTCAGGCTGCGGATACCTCGATAGAGCATCGGGGATAACATTCTTCTTTCCTG